TTAGCTAAGAACGTCTTAGCTTATTAAGGTATTAACTATTTAATTTAAATCACTTTAATACCTAAGAGGTGCCACGTGTCACGTTTTGATTGGGCGGATTTCACATATTCTACAGATACGCCTTCTAATTTTTTCGATAATAGAGCTCGAGTTCGTGATCGAGGTATGCATCAACAATTGAAAAATGATTTGGTCGAGCATATATGGACAAAATATTAAAGAAATTAAGTTTAAAATATTTGTGATTTATGTTATAAATTGTATCTCATGTATGTTTTAATTTTTTTAATTTGCAATAATTATTTAATTTTCTATAATTATAAATTTTATTTTTATATTAATATTTTTTTTTCTAAAAACCACATGTTAAGAGCCTACCATTAATCACACAAAAATCTTAACTCAAAAATACTATCTCTTAACAATCACTTTTACAAATAAATTATTTAAATATTACTAAGATCTATCTCTAAGAAACTAATGCTCTTATAAAACCTTATAAGTACCTTGTAAAACCTTTTAAAATACATTGTAAAACCTTACAAAACACTTGTAAATACTCCGTAAAACCTTTAAAATACCTTATAAATTTTTCCCGCCAAAAATTTTCCCGCCAAAAAAATTTTGCCAAAAAAATTGCGGAATCACTTTTCCAGCAAAAAAATATTTTTTGCCGGGAAAAATTTTTACCGAAAAATTTTACAAGGTATTTTAAAGGTTTTTACAAGTGTTTTGGCGGAAAAATTACGGGAACACTTTTCCCGCCAAAAAATATTTTGTATTTTGTGGACCTAATTTTGTTTCAAATAAGGGTAAAATGGTCATTAAAAATTAAAAGAGGGCAAACTTAAAAATGGACTCTCAAAGGGGGTATTTTTGAAAAAGGATATTGAAAAAGGGGCATTTTTAACAATTTCTCAAAAATTTATTATGTGTTTTATTAATAGTTTGGTTTAAATGGATAAAATTATGGTTAGTGAAAAATTGTGTGTAAATGTTTTTAAAAAATTGTGTGTTAACCATGGGAAGACACATGATAAAAATTTTAATTGTTTTAATAATAATTTTCTAAATTAATCTTTAAACTGATTATATCATTATATGGTCTAACACTGTGTTTTTTTTATGCAGTGGACCACTAATAAAGCCTTATTAGCCTAATATATATTTATTGATTTTTGACATTAGTGGACCACTAATAAAGCCTTATTAGCCTAATATATATTTATTGATTTTTGACATTATTATCTTCATTATTAAATTGGACAGTCGTTTCCGGAAATATCTAACATTACCTTCCCAAATTAAATAAGTTAACATATATACAATTTCAAATTTTATTCCTTCCACCTATACTAATAAAAATTTATTAGATAATAACCTAAAATATATAATGATATTAAATTGATTTTTTTTTTGTTTCCGGAAATATCTCAAAATATATCACGAAATTAAATAATTTTACCTTTCAATTATAAAATTAACAGTTAGATTTTTATGGAAACTACTTTAAAAGAGTTCCATAAATTTGGGTAGTTATTAATTTGTTGATTTTATGGAAACTACTTAAAACGATTTCCATAAATATAGCGTAGTTATTAATTAGTTGATTTAATTTCAGATATTTTTTTATATAAAAAACATATATCAAATGGACACAAATGCTTTTTTCCGATTTTTTAGCTTTTTTTTTTCCAATTCAAAAATACCAATGGCATTTCATGTAATATTCTATAACAAAAAGGTTCTTTATTTTTGAGTGATTCCCAATTAATAGTATAGATTAATTATACAATCTGTCTCAATATAGATGCTATATAAATGTTTTTTTTATATATTTTCTGACACGAAATTATAATTTTTCTTATTGGTTGGGCTGCAACAAGGTTACTGGGCTATACCAGAAACAGGGCCCAATCAAAAACTAACTCTGAGCCGAAACGCACAGCTCCACTTAGCAGTTGACCCGACGACCAAAAGTCAATAATCATATCACGCAACTTGTGTTAGTTATGAACAACAACAGTTACTAATTTACGATGAAACGTTTTAGATTATGGAAAAGATGGTTTAAGTAAACGTTCAGGCGTGATCTTCATTTTAGAAACTATTTTTAAAAATCTGATTAAAAACTTGAATGCTAAATATACATAATATTAGAAAAAAACAAATTGAATGTTTGGAATTGCTAAATACTAATGTTGGATCCAAAATCCGGTTAGTTTTCATATCATTATGTAAATTTAGTATTCAAATAATATTTTATTTTAAAAAACAAACTTAAGAAATAAAAGCTTTTAGTAATCTGAAAAAAAAACAAAATCAAAATTTTAAAAACTATTTTTATAAATCCGAATTAAAAACTTGAATGCTAAATCTACATAATAATAGGAAAAACAAGTTGAATATTTGGAATCGCTAACGACTAAAGCTGGATCCAAAATCCGGTTAGTTTTCATATCATTATGTAATTTTAGTATTCAAACAACAATTAAAAAAAAAAACAAACATAAGAAAGAAAACCTTTTAAAAATTCGAAAAGAAACAAAATCAAAATTTTAAAAACCATTTTTAAAAATCCAAATTAAAAACTTAAATGCTAAATCTACATAATAATAGGAAAAATAAGTTGAATATTTGGAATCGCTACCGACTAATGCTGGATCCAAAATTCGGTTAGTTTTCATATCATTATGTAATTTTAGTATTCAAGCATAAGAAAGAAAAGCTTTTAAAAATCAGAAAAGAAACAAAATAAAAATTTTAAAAACCATTTTTAAAAACCGAATTAAAACCTTGAATGCTAAATCTACATAATAATAGGAAAAACAAGTTGAATGTTTGGAATCGCTAACGACTAATGTTGGATCCAAAATCCGGTTAGTTTTAATATCATTATGTAATTTTAGTATTCAAACAACAATTTTTTTTTAAAAAAAAAAACTTAAGAAAGAAAAGCTTTTTAAAATCCGAAAAGAAACAAAATCAAAAATTTAAAAACTATTTTTAAAAATCCGAATTAAAAACTTGAATGCTAAATCTATATAATAATAGGAAAAACAAGTTGAATATTTGGAATCGCTAACGACTAATGCTGGATCCAAAATCCGGTTAGCTTTCATATCATTATGTAAATTTAATATTCAAACATAAGAAAGAAAAGCTTTTAAAATCCAAAAAAAAAACAAAATCAAAATTTTAAAAACCACTTTTAAAAATCCGAATAAAAATTTTGAATGCTAAATCTTCATAATAATAAGAAAAACAAGTTGAATGTTTGGAATCGCTAACGACTAATGCTGGATCCAAAATCCGGTTAGTTTTCATATTATTATGCAAATTAGTATCCAAGATAAAAAACTAAAACAAATGACCTAAAACATAAATATTAGGATGGGATAGAAATTGGACCTGACTAATAATGGTTTTGATGTTGTCCTTACTCCTCCACGACAAATCTCTGATCTCGCAGCAAACCACTCTTCCACCACCGTGATCGGAAACGAATCCCCCACTCTCTCCGTCGTCGTCGATTGTCGATTTTTCTTGGACAACCACCGATAGCTTTAATTACTTCGAACGATTCTAAACGAAGGAGCGAGCATCATCTTCCGTCACTAACACTCGTATCTGGTCTGGTTGGCGAGGATTTTGCGAAGAGCAACAAATCAAGCAAATAAGTTGGAGAATAAATATGAAACGAAGAGGAGAAATCGTAAAATCAGAGAAAATTGGGTAAGAAATTGCATCTTTCTCACTCTCTAAAACTCTCTGTGTTTCTTTGGTTTTTGATACTAAAAACGATTACACCGAGAAAGAGAGGAAAGCTGGAGACGACTGTATTTATAGACTCATCTTCGGATTCAAAGATTTCCCATTTTCTTTTTTACTCTTTCTCTGTTATTTCCTTTTTCTTTGTGTTGTTTCCTTTTTCTTAACTCTTAATGTGTTTATTATTTCCTTTTTTTCACTTAGCACTGATTGTTTTCCTTTTTTGACAATTTGTAGAAAACTCTATGCTTGCAATCTCTATCTATTATTATTACAAAAAGCAAGATCAATGTTCTTGGTTAGGATTTGATTTTATTTGGCAAATTGCTTAAACCATTGATTGCTTCTGATTATCTATGAGAATGTGTGTGTAATTGAATGAATTGAATTGTTCTAATTTGGGCAAAAAATGTTTAATTTTGTACTATGAAACGTTTTCTCACATATAAAATCAAGAAAACTAATCTAAGAAATTTCGAGGGATATGAGTGGAACAGGTAATGAAACCCAAAACAAGAAAGAAAAAAAAAAAATAGAAACAGAGGCTAATTTAAGAACAACAATACGGAAAATATTACTAATGTGATTATTAATTATTCATAATCAAAGAAATGACCAGCTAAGGTGAAAACGCATTAATCACTGGAGTAGCAGTGATAGCCATTATTGGTCGAAAGAGCTTCCATGTATTGTTTCTCCAACACTTCCATTACTCTATCTGCTATGGCACTTGCATAAACACTAGATCCTTCACAAATCTGTTAAAATCACAATTACTTATTAGTCTAAAACCTTTTTTTTTTTTTGGTCTTATTAAGAGATAAATTGAAATTTATGACAAACCTTGGCGTTGAACAAGAAACTGTGGTGCTCTCCGATTTGTGCACCAGCTACATGGTGAAGATCAAGCTGAAGCTGGTCAACGACTTTGGATACAAAGACCAAACAATTGATTTTCTTCTTCTGCACGATCTTGATGGTTACGTCATCGTCTATGATGCGTACATCGACCTCAGTGAATTTCGATTTCCTCTTCAGCCATGAGCATCTCAAGGCATTGTTCTTCTTATTGATCAAACATTGTTCTACTACTTCGCTTTGAGCCTTGAAGTTCTCATCAATAACATCATCTCCTTCTCTGTTCCGCTGTTTTGTTCTTTTCTTTTCGACTAGCAGCTTGAACTCATCGATCGTCCTTAACAACTCTTTGATGTAATCTATCGCTTCTCCGACGATTGATGCTCTATCATTCTAGAGATATAAGAAAAAAGGTTTAGTTTGCAAAGTTTATTACTTGAAGAAGAAGTTAGTATATAAGTAAGTATAAAACCTTGGTGGGATTTGGAATTAGATTCTTTAAGTCACCAAACCGGTCTTTGAAGTGAACTCTTCTCTCGCGTTCGGTAGGGAAAACTTTCCGCTTTCTCGATCCTCTCCCTTTACGGTTTAGACCATTGTCTAGGTTGTTGTTTTCTTCATCATACATCAAATTCACTCCTTGGTTTTCTATCTCAGTTTGATCTTGATCAACTCCTATGAAAGTCCCATTAGGAGGCTGCAAAGGGAAATTCAGGTGGAAGAGCGGGTCATAGGCGGCAACAGAGGAAGATGTTGTCATGATAATATCTTGAAGGCTAGGGTTTGCGAATGGCGGAAGTGAGGATCTTGGTAATTGCAAGAGACTAAGTAGGTCAGGAGTTGTATGATTAGGAACCAAGTTCACAAAATCTTGGTAACCATTGTCCCAATTATTCGACTGTTGTGGATACGATGGACCTTGAAGGGTTTGGTGCATCGAACTCTGGAATTGATGATCACAATTAGGCGTAGCATTGACGTGAAGCTGATGAACATAAGCTGAGGCTGAGGCAGGTAGAGAAGAGTCTTGTGGGCTGAGGTGGAATTCAGAGAGATCTTCTAAACTGCAGTTGCTGTTGCTGTTGCTACCGATGACCGTGATCGTCGGTGGTGGCTCAGCCGGAGAGAAACTGCTCTCAGCCGTCATTTCTGCTGGAGCATTTGGATCAAAACACCCAATTTCTTCAAACATGCCTCCTCCTTCCATGTACCCAAACCGGTCCAAAGGGCTAAGAAAGATGGTTTCAAAATCTGCAAACATTTACAAAATTTTGATTTCCTAGGTTATATATTGAAAACTGCAACCTAAACTCAAACAAATCTGTTCTAACCATCTAAGAAATCAACAAAGTCTAAGCTTAGATGAATTCTTGTAATATCTAATGATCAGGTTATTAGAAATAAAAGACTAAGAGAAAGGTAAGTTGTTACCGACTTGGCTGATGATTCGCCGAAGAACCTTTTCCGATTAAAGCATCCGAATTCACGCCAAGAAGAGACTTACATTAACAACTCTTTCTCTCTCTCTCTTTTTAAAATGCCTATACGTTTGCAATTTGAGAGTACAAATAAATAGAGTGGAAGATGACACATTAAACCTTTTTTTTTTTTTGTATTTATAAAATACGTCTGTTATTTATTTGTGGTCGAACGGGGGACATAAATTTTAATTTCAAAACAAACATTTGTTTTCCTTTTGTTATATATTTTCAAAACGTATTTATAATTATTTCTCTTCTTTCTCAAAACTCTAGTGTCTTACTGTCTTGTTTGTTCGTATCGTAATATTCAAAATTGGAAACTAATGTTTCTGTTTTATCTATAAAAATTAATGGTGGTACTCTGGTAAAGTCCAGATTTCTTTTTTGCGCGTGACAATACCTAATTTGATACATCTTTATTGAAATGAAATTTTTTGTTACCTTATTGGTAAAAGAAATAGTAAGTTACATATTTGAGTTCTTTTAGTTTATAAGTTGAATCTTTTAGAGCCTTTGTTTTTTTTTTTAAGAAGTTACATTTTTTTAGTAACGAGGGTTTTGGTTGGATCATGAAATTTCTCTTTGTGGCAAGACAGGCCGGTGGTTAGTTACAGTCTGTAAGTTTCATGACGTGTCTCTCTTCGTGTGGGTCCCGTCACGATTCTCTCAGGTTTTGCCGTTTTGGGAGATGATCTTCAGGGGTATTTCGGTCTATTCCTTATATTTTCTGAGAAATGTTAAGGTTGATTTGAATCCTTCAAATATAATGGAGAGTTCTTAATTACACTTTCAATTTCGAAGTTTTTTTTTAGTAGTAAAACTCCCGTTGTTTAAAGATTTTTTCGCATTGTCTTTTGTATAAATAGGGCCGAGTTTTAACAAAAAATTAAGAAACGAGACATTCACAAAATATTATATGAAGTTAGTAGCTATAGTATTTTTTGACATCTAAAGGAAATAATATTGATCATAGTTTGTCAGCGGAAGCTTTTTCTATTAGGTCAAAAAAGATTGAACATTGTACATTTTGTCTAGCACTTCTGACTTCTGACTTCTGATATACAATGACCGATGATATTATAAATAAGATAAAGGCTTTATTTGTATTATTTCATTGTTAAGTGGAGTATTTTTTTAATTTCATGTTTGTTGGGTCATGCAAAATATGTTTCCAAGGCAAGGTAGCGGATTTTTTGTGAAGAATATTAACTGGGTCCCACGTGACGTATGGAAAAATATTAGAAACAAAAGCTATGCGGGAAAGGGTGTTTTCGTAAACTCACTTGAAAATTCTGCCAAGTGCTAACCAGTTTTGTCCGGTTTATTGATTTTTTGTTACAATTTGGGATTCAATTAATCCGACGAAGACATTTTATATTCGTTTTGTTCAGAGGTGTCGAGTTTATTTTTTATCGAGCTGCATATAAAAACCATCTCAAACAAAGCTGAGGCTGAGATGCGCAATATGGAATTAAGGAGTGTTTCGTAATTTTGGGCCTTTTTGGTTCTCCTATGAGGCTTATTTTGGGCCTCTACACAATATCAGAAGTAGGCGTTTTAACACGTTTCGTCATCTATAGCCAGATGAGAGGGCCTGAACCCTACCTGGTGGTGGTTATTTATTGCTTTAACTTACCCGACAAGTGCGACTGAATTTGAAATATCTATCTTGGGCCTACTGATCTTATCGAGGAGAGGACCATTAAATCACCCTATTCTTTGGCCTTTAGTACTATTTTATTATACTTGAAATTTCTATTTCGAAAATCTTGAGAAAAAAGTCATCGACAAAGATGAGATGTGTCGATGATACCATTGCTAGTTCAGTTGTGCTCTTGTTATTGTAATTCTTGGTGGTCCATTCTTTGGATACATTTATGTTATGCGTCCCACATCGGAAGTGTGGTAAGATTAAAAGTTTAGTGTTCAATATAAAACTTCAAATTTTGAGCATTAGGCCATTCTATTGAATTTTAAACTACGTACGGTCAGATTGAAGCGTACATATATTTGATTTTATCTTATGTCAAAACATATAAATATGTGGCTATTACTCGTACATATTTAATACTCATATAAATGAATAGTCTCAATCATAGCCGTGCTCTGTAGTTGTCAGGTAGTCGTGGTTTGAAGTAAAACACTCTCAACTATTTGTATGAAGTCTCTATACTATTAGTTCCATGCATCTAGTTTATATACAACTTATCAGTCGTCTACACTAAACCACTCGACACTCATTGATAATCAACTAAATACATACCATTACTCTTAAACCAAATTTAACTTTCATTGCTTTTTAAAAACAAATAATCAACAATAGATTATAGATGACCTAATTATTTCCACGGTGAAATACCAAAAATTCTGTAATATTAAAGATAACTATTCTTTGAAAATAGTAGTGGAAAATAAGTTGGGAAAACTTTGGACCTTGTGTGCCAAAAGTAGAAAAATAATTTCCAGCTTGTCAATTATCCCTCTCTATATATATATATTAACACACTTAGCCATCGCACACTTATTAGTTACTTCCAACATTTGGCTTCCTTCGCTTTTCCACGAACATAAACCTTCTTCTTCTTCCATTTCTTCTTTCTCTCCTCGTTTAACAATTTGTTTGATAAGAAAACAAGAATGGGAAGAAGACCATGCTGTGAGAAAATAGGATTGAAGAAAGGGCCATGGAGTGCTGAAGAAGATCGAATCTTGATCAATTATATTAGTCTCCATGGCCATCCCAATTGGAGAGCTCTCCCCAAACTAGCCGGTAAATAAGTCCTTTTCTAATGCTAATTGATATATATTAACAAAATTTTATCTAGCATTTGATTTGATTAGATGATGAGTATTATTGTTATATAGTATATATTTGTGTAAAGTTAATAATGGTGTTTGTGAAATGATTAGGGCTACTTCGGTGCGGAAAAAGTTGCAGGCTTCGTTGGATTAATTATTTGAGGCCAGACATCAAACGTGGCAATTTCACTCCTCATGAAGAAGATACTATCATCAACTTACATCAAATCTTAGGCAACAGGTTCCTCCTCCTTTTCATTACCTGTTATTTGCGAAATTTTAGTTTTTTTTTTGATCCCTATATTCTTTGAACCAGAAATTAAACATTAATCTTTGAGAAATCATCACTCACATATTTTTTTTGAACTCTTTGAGAAGTCAATCATTTTTTTTTTGTTTAAATAAGTCAATCACAATTTTCTTTCGATAACTAGTTTCTCTGTTTAGTTCATGTTATAGTAAAAAAAAGGTAAATGTTCATTTGTAGATGAAAGATTTTGGGACATCAAAATGTGAAAAAGTAACATTACTTTGGAAATTTAGTTTGTTTTTAACTGAGATGACTAGCTAGGTTACTTGACAATCTTTCTTAAGAATTGTCTTTTTATATATGTTTTGCTTTGTCAGTAAAATATTATATCTTTGTGGGGCTATGAACTGAGAAGATTCCAACCCGTGATTGCCTTTGTCCATTAAATAATTTCAATTTTTACTTTCCTCTAATTATACTTTTTTCTTCTTCTCATAAACAATTTTTATTCACTACTAGACAAGATAGGCACTGTGATCAGCGTAAGACATGTGCAAATTCTTTTAACCATATACACATGAACTTCAATAACTTTTCTTTTGTTTTACTCGCTCTTTGTTCTCATCACAACAATGTAGACGTATTATAGTGAATCATACATGTGACATTTTGTTTGATATATCTTTCTTTTGGTAGATGGTCTGCGATAGCTGCAAAATTGCCAGGACGAACAGACAACGAAATTAAAAATGTTTGGCACACTCATTTAAAGAAAAGACTCCACCATAATCAAGATCAAAATAACAAGGAAAATTTCGCCTCTACTACAGCTGCGGAGAGGCTGCAACAACAATCTAGCAGTAGCGCCGACATTTCAGAAATTACAACATCGGGAAACAATAACGACATCTCCAATAACAACAAAGACTCTGCGACGTCATCCGAAGATGTTCTTGCAGTTATAGATGAGAGCTTTTGGTCAGAAGTCGTATTGATGGACTGTAACATTTCAGGAGATGGTGAGAAGAATGAGCAAAAGATAGAGAATTGGGAGGGCTCATTAGATAAAAATGATAAGGGGTATAACTATTCGAAATTGGATAACCATGACATGGAGTTTTGGTTTGACCATCTCACTAGTAGTCGTATAGTTGGAGAAATTTGCGACATTTCTGAGTTTTGATTTGTTTTAGTTAAGACTTATATCTTCCTTTAATTTGTAACCCACATGAATAAAAGTCATTTACGTTTCCTAATTCCTATATTAGTCCTCTTTCTATGTGTCGTTGTACTACTTTTGGTTGATTAAAAGGTTACTATAGGATATAAAATTCTAAATGTTCGTATCATGCTAAACATATATTTTGATTTTTCTGCAAAAAAAACCCTCCAAGTCATTTTTGATTGCAATTTAACCCTCCAAATCCGACTTATGCAAGTCAACCCCATGAAGTCCAAAGTCACCCGCTAAATAGCCCTCAGTCGTATCGATGACGTGGCAACGTTGAAACATTAGACGGAGAGTGAAACGTACCGTATTAAGGAGGCAAAAACGGCATGGGTTTAATTAGTTGTTGTCGTTTTATTCTTTAAAAAACGACATGATGTTATGTGTATCGGGTTAAATCGATAAAGGGGAAAAAATTAGGGTTTTCTCATAAACTTCAAATCGATTTGGGGGAAAACAATTAGGGTTACAAAATTTGGGTGAAATCGATTTGGGGAAAGATGGTATCTTGATCGCGAGTTGGATTGGGATTAGAGTCTGTAGGGATACGAATCGATTGAGATAGGAGAGTGGTTCGATTGGGATTGGTGAGTGGATCGATTCGGATAGGAGAGTGGTTCGATTTCTTTCACTCGCATCGTGGGATTGGATAGATTGGGGTTTGTTTCACTCGCATCGTTGGATTCTTCATACCCGTTGGATTCTTTTGCGTGGTGGGATTGGGTGAAGAAGAGAGTACGGCTGCGATGAGGTAAGGTTCCTTGTTTATGGGTCGAGATCTTTGTTTTTCTTAGCTTGCTTCTTTTCATAGAATAAATCCATCTGTTCTTGTGTGCAGTTTCGATCTGTTCTTATATGTTGGAGGATATTGGTCAAAAAACGATGGATTTTACCATGGTGGAGAGACACATGAAGTGGGTCTGATGTCGGCGGCCACTTTTAGCATTAACTCGGTTGTAACGCTTGTTGTGGAGCTAATCGGGTATGAAGAGAACATGAGAAAAGTCTCATGGTTTCCACCAAAATCTCCTGAGAACAAAGAAGACATTGATAGCGAGGACGTGTTAAAGAAGGTGGTACATTACGCTGTTGGAGCAGGTGCCTTAACTCTGTACGTTGTCAGGGAAGATGATCCATACTTAGGTCGGCGTGTGGATAGTAATCTCGGTTACTTGGCAGATGAAGATAATGAGGGTGAGTTAGCTATTGGTGATGAAGGTGGTAATCCTCAAGATGAAAATGAAGAGCAGAATGGTGACAGCAGCAGTGAGAGTGATGGAGGCCATGCAGCTGTTGATGAGAGCAAGTATCCAAAATTTAGTATTGGTGATGAGTACAACACAATACAGTCCTTTAAAAATGCTGTTAACAAGTATGCAGTGAAGAAGAGGAGGGACATTAAGTATGATAAGTCGGATAGCAAGCGTGTGGTAGCAATATGTTCAGAGAAGAAGTGTCCTTGGAGGATTTCTGCCACTATAAATAGCAGCTGTAGTAGAGTGGTTATTAGATCCTTGAATGATGAACATGATTGCACTTGGCAAGGTAAAGTGTCACTTCTCACTAATGCTCGCATTGCTGATCTTTACCTTGAAGAATTCAGACTTAATCCGGATTTCTCTGCAACCCAGTTGCAAAATAAGCTTTTGAGACGTAATATTAATGTTCCTTGGACAATCTGCGAGAGGACACGCCTGAGATGCTTGCAGATTTTTGATGATGAGCAAGCAGAGTCTTTTTCAAGGCTTTTTGATTATGTGGCTGAGTTGAAAAGAAGCAATGAGGGATCTACAGTGGCATTGGAGGTAAGACAAGAAAAATTTCATAGATTTTATTGTTGTTTTGCTGCTCTAAAAGATGGATGGAAGGCAGCTTGTAGGAGATTATTCATCTTGATGGAACATTTCTGAAGTGGAGAATGTCAGGAATGTTGTTAGTGGCTTGTGGAAGAGATCCTAATGATCAAATGTTTCCTATAGCTTGGGGGATAGTGGATTGTGAAAATACTCCAAATTGGATGTGGTTTCTTGAGCATTTAATGTATGACTTAGATTTGGGGCCAGGAAATGGGTTAACATTAGGTAGTGACCAGCAAAAAGGATTGATTGCAGCAGTGAAGGATGTTCTGCCGTTTGCTGAACATAGAATGTGTGCTAGACATGTTCATGCAAACTGGAAGAAAAAACATTCTGGAGCAGAATTTGAAGACTTATTTTGGGCTGCTGCTGATTGTTATTATCCTGCTCAGTTTGATAGAAAGATGGAAGAGCTGAAGAATTATTCACTTGATGCTTATAATGACTTGAAGATATCTATTTTCTGTCCATGGTCCAGGGCTTTTTTCACTGAGTTCTCGAAGTGTAGTGCTGTGGAAAACAATCTTGGAGAGTCATTCAATGCTGCAATTCGGATTGCAAGAACCAAACCAATTGTTGAGATGCTAGAAGAGATAAGAAAAAGAGTTATGGTCTCTAATGAGAAGAAAAGAGCTGAAGCAGAGAAAGCAAAAGGAGAGTACACTCCCAGATCTAGAGCTTTGCTAGACCAGCAAATTGATTTAGCAAAGAACTGTCGTCCTTTAAGTTGCGGTTTGGGAAACTATGAGGTTGCCTATTTCAACTACAAGACCAATCTGCGTACGGATGGCTTTATTGTACAAATGCGGGGTGTGGTCTCGTGTAGTTGTAGAATGTATTTGGTAAGTGGGATACCTTGTAGCCACATTATTTCATGTCTGAGGCATGAGAAGAACAGTGATCAAGATCCTAAGACTTTGATATCTCCTTGGTTCACCACAGAGAAGCTGAAAAGATGTTATTTGAACTTGATGAAACCTGTAAATGGCATGAACTTGTGGAGAATAACTTCAGCTCCAAGGGTAAAACCTCCTCCGTTTAAGAAGCCTAGTGGAAGACCACCAGGAAAGAAGAGAAAGAAAGAGAAAGGTGAACCAAGAGATGCAAAGAAAATGACCAAAAGAGGAACCAAAATTGTAAGTATTTCTGTTTATTCCTTTTAAGTATTTCTGTTTACATCTAAAGAAATCTCTTTTATTATCTGTTTTATGTACAGCATTGTGGTTTATGTGGAGTAGAAGGTCACAACAAACTCAAATGCAAGACTGGACCGAAGCCTAAGCCACCACCTAAACCACCAGGTAGGCCACGAAAGAGACCATTTGCCTCGATTTCTGAAGCTGAACCAAGCCTTCCAAGCCTTCCAAGCCTGCCAAGCTTTCCAAGTCAATCAAATGAAGTTGAAGATCTTCCAAGCCTTTCATCTGCACTCCCTAAGAGAGGTCGTGGAAGACCTCGTAAAAGTCAGTTTGATGGTGCATCATCCTCTCAACCACCTCCTGAAAGAACAGAGCCTATGTATGACACAGGGCCTAGAACTCTACTAAGAGTGAGTACATCAAACTTTTTTTTTTGTTGTCATCAAACTAGAAATGTTCATCAAAATTCGATGTGTTTTGTTGCAGGAAGGTTACGGTGTCTTCACTAGTCCTGTAACTGGTGATGACTATATCCATGTTGGTAGGTCTGTCGTTGATACACGAGATAACACAGTCCTTCCAAGCACTCTTTATGCAGCCAGGGAACGAAAGAAGCTTGCTGTTGGACGTGGTCGTGGCAAGAAGAAATGAGATGTGGCTTTTTCATTTGATGCTTCCCTTTTATATTTTCAAACTAGATAATGTTTATCGGATGTTGTTTGTTTTGTTGTGTTGTTATGGGATACCTTTTGTCGGTTTAACATCATGTTTGTGTTTTGGTGGAAACCTTATCATTATGTGTTCTGTTTTGTTGGATTTTTCACCTTGTGTTTTGTTTTTTGTGGTACTAAGCATTTACAAAACCTATCACACACACAAACACATGATTTAGACCAAAACACAAATCATATTACTAGACAAAATATTTCAAACCCCATATTACAAAACCAATTGTTTGTGACGAACATTGAAAATCCTTTCAAAGACAACCAAAAAGTGAAAGAACTTCATCCGCATACTACTAAAGAGAGAGAGTTTTCTAAACATTGTAATAATCTACTTAAACAAGTAGATTATGATTGCTACCAAAACAAAAATTGCAACAAGCACATTCTTCAATTCCAAAGCTATTCCATCACTTTTCTTTGCAATCATCTCCCTAAGCCTAGCAAACTCCATCACATTTTCATCATGGAGATCATAAATATGAAGAATCTCGACTTTATGCCTTTGAAGCGTCTCATGCATTTTATGCAATTCTCCGAGAAGGTAAGTAAATTCCTGCATCACAGCCTCATCAAAACATTTCCGTATGTGATGTGCCCCATCCTACCAAAATTCAACAAAAAACTCAAACCAAATTCAAACCAAATTCACCAAAACACAATTCAACAAACACTTACATCGGAATTTTGACATGTGTAGAATCGTCTTCCCGGGTTCATCGTTGATTGAGTATCAAGCTGTGCTCTTCCACCACAAAAACAATGAGTAGGAATCCCATAGTCAAATTCATCATCGTGACATCGATCCGCAAGAATACCATTGGGCATAGAGGTTGACCTTGAGCTATCAGACATGTTCGATTAAGAAGAAGATCGAAATGGAAAAGAAGAATCAATCTCCCAATTTCGGACCCCCAATTTGAGATGAAGAAGAAGATGTAAAATAAGAATGAATCTCCCAATTTCGAACCCTAAGTTTTAAGAGAATTCCAGTGTCGTTTTTTAGCAGAAGCAAAACGGTGTCGTTTCGACATCCGTTATGTTTTTAAACGGAATTCAACGTTGCCACGTCATCGATACGACTGAGGGCTATTTAGCGGGTGACTTTGGACTTCATGGGGTTGACTTGCATAAGTCGGATTTGGAGGATTAAATTGCAATCAAAAATGACTTGGAGGGTTTTTTTGCAGAAAACCCTTTGATTTTTTTTGTGTTTTTCTTTTGACGTCATATAATAAGTTTTTTTACTAAAGATCTCTTAGCAATATATATATATATTTTTTTAACACTCCCTCTGTTTTACAAAGAGTGTCATTCTAGAATTTTTCACACAAATTAAGAAAATTAAACAAATTTTATTTTTACCCCTTATTAATACACTAAATATTACCCTCTCTCTAATTAATAAGCTAAAATAGTGAGGTTAAAAAAGAGAATTAGTCTTTAAAACTGCATTGAAAACACAAAACGACATTTTTTGTGAAACGAGATTAAAACCTTAAAATGACATTATTTGTGAAACGGAGGGAGTATTGTTTAAAGCTATGGTGATGTCTTATACTGTAACTAGCAGTAAACATGTTTAGTGGATGCCTAGATTAAAGAAAGTCTATTGTTGTTCTAATGGTGGTCGCATACTTTTAAAAGAATATTCCTTTTTTTTTTCTATGCACAATGAATTACTTTTTTTTTTCTTTGGGTACAGACACAATGAATTACTAATTTACTATACAATCGCATTTTAAACTCTTATATAGCCAGGGCCGGCCCTGAAAGCAGGGGCATGAAACAAATGAATGGGGCCCCAAATTTTTTTAAAAATTTTGCAAGAGAAAATATTTATAAATAGGCCCCCGAAAAATATTATGTTTAAGAAAAAGCTCCCAAATTTTATAACTGTTCATAATAACCCTAAAAAAAATGTTTTGTTGCTTTGACCCTCAAATTTCTAGGACCGGCCATATAGCTCACTAAAAGTAGTGGCTAACTGACAAAAAAGATATTAAGTAACCATTGCTATAGCTTTTCCTAATAGATTTGGCGTTCTCAAGCTCGATTATAACTTACTTATGTGTATATCAGTGCCGGCTCAATACTTTGATGGATCTTAGGGCAAAAAAAATTTTAGGCCCTTAGAATTTTTTTTTATAGTATTTTTGTGTTATAAAAAAATTTTGTATGATATTTTTAATAAAAATTTAATTATTAAAACTAAAAACAGTAAATAAAAAAATTTATGGGCCCTTATAAATTTTATTTTTATGTTGTAATATAATTTTTTAATACTTTTATAAAAATAATTTTAAAAATGGGCCCATTAATTATTGGAAAACGGAATTGGGCCCCTGGCCGTCGCACCGCCCGCCCTCTTATCTGAGCCGGCACTGGTGTATATATGTATGTGATCCTCGATTACTCCATTGAGCAATTGTGATAAACCTAAAATTTGTAAACATAAGAAGAAGAAGACAGTGAATGCTCGTCAAAAATTGTTTTTGTTTCGCCGTAGCAATTACTGGTAGTGCGATCTTGATTTTACAGAGACAGCTTCTTGGCTAATAAAATTAAAACGAGGTAACTTATAAAAAACCATTACCAAAGAAGCACCATTGATATTATCGATGATCCAGCGATGACTCCACTATAAGTTATAACAAATATATCACCATCAACTAAACTAAGTACTAACTAAACACAATAATGGTTCTTCGAAGCATAAAAAACCAATGAGAAGCATAAAATGATAAAAACGTGGTTGACAAGTGACAACTAAACCAGAGAATGGGATGATTTTTATCAATTATTCTGGCTAGGTCTGGACCCACCTTCAAGGAGCTGAATCCAATCACATTTTTGAGACAGCATAACTGACTTAGAGTGAGTCTCTCAACCAAGAAAAGGTTTAGTTAAAGAATTTGAAGTTACTTAGAAGTTTTGGGTGACCTATATTGCCCTAGAACATCAAAACAACAAATATCAACCTCTTTGTAATAGACTTTTGAAAATCCATGATTGAACACCAAATAATGTCTGCAAACAGTAGTTGACAAGGTACATCAGTGTAATAATAATACCTTCAAATAAAAAACCTCACAGCCAGCCAGTATTTTTCAAACAAACAGAAAACAGAGAGAGTAACTCATTCAACTGGTGCATACAGAGCAAAATTCAGCTGTGTTTGGGTCTCTTTCACTGTCCAATTAGCTGGAATTACTACTAAGTAACTCCACTAGTTCGGCTTTCTTCATCTTTGAAAACCCTTTTAGTCCTCGTGACTTTGCTAGGCCTCTCAGTTCCATCAGCTTCAGTTTACTCAAGTCTTTCACGGCTTCTTCCTCAGCTTCATCACTATCTTCATCAGCATCATCGTGAGACTCATCATCATCTGAAAACACATCTAAAATACCATCATCATCTAAAGTCACTTCATCATCCTCCTCCTCTTGAAACAATGATGATGAATCTGGCTTCAGCTCTGACTCTTTTTTAAGCATAGTTGTCAGAGGCCCAGGTTCTGACTCATTTTCAGGTTCGTGCTCGTACTCAGGCTCATGCTCAATCTCAGGCTCATGTTCAGGTTCATCCTGCAACTCTACTGTATCCTTCTTCTGGGTCCAGGTTACGCTGTAACTCGATGATTGATCAAAAGTTGCCTCACTAGAATAAGCTGGCGGTGATTTAGATCTTGGTACTGGCGACTTTCTTCTGAAGCTTGATGTTGGTCTGGTAAAGGATGATGCATTATTATCTTTGTTCCCTGAATTGACAAGATTTCCATTGCGATTTTGTTTGTCGACAGTATCTTCTTGTACTTCTCCCTGGCTGCTAAATTTGCTAACTTGCTTCTTGCTTTGCTCTCCCGAGTGTTTCCTTAGTAACTTAAGAAGGGAGTCAACAGTTTCACTTTCTTTTCCCTGCCCTTTAGAAGCTTCTTCAATCTTTTTTTCTTCTTTCTTTGATGCAGCACGAGCTCGGAGCTGAGCTTGAACCTTTCTGAAAAGCTCGACTATCTCTTTCTCTCTAGGTCCAGGGGATGAGATAGCTTGGAATTTGGGGGAGCTAGATAGAGAGAATAAAGGCCCATTTCTTGAAGACAACATATCAGAGTTTTCGATATCGAGATCGTCTCTCCCTTCGCTCTGCCTGTTGTTTCCCCGGAAACCATGCTTATTAAGTCTAGAGAAATCAGGATTTCTCCTATAGCCGCCAGAACTAGCTCGGCATAGAAAAGCATTCTTATTGGAGACAGATTTCAGACGCCCATTCTTGTGATCCAGACAGGAAGAGCAAGGTAAGATGGAAAGTGTTCTTCTTGAAACAGCAGAGGTAGAGAAGGAACGGCTGTCTGAAAGTGTGTAACCTGTGTTACCAAGCAAATACCACAGAGAGTAAGCAGATTAAAAGATAGTACAATTCGTTAGGCCAGTACAAAAGCATGTAAGAGCCCACACATGAATAAGCGGAATTTTATATAACACTCGAAGAGTCATTTCATCGAGCAACTGGTGGACAACAAAACAAAACAAAATAATCTCTCGTCACACGGTGGTGACAGGGGCATAAAACAGTAGTGCTCGGAGAGAATTCAAGGAAGAACACTAACAATATTCCCGGAAAACAAATAGAGACACACATAGATATAGATAAGATACCTTAACAACTATCAACGACAATTATAAAAAAGAAGAAGAGGAACATTTTATCAACGACATGTGAGAGAAAGAGAAAGAGAGAGACATGAAAAGGGTAGAGGATGGTGAAGTACCAGGTACATAGTCAGAAGTCAAATGGAAAGTTCCCGACATCGCCATGGACAGACTCCAGGAGCAAAGAAGAGAGATTTATGCTTCTCGACTTTCGTCTTCTCTGGCTTGTCTTGGTAACACAAATCTTGATATTGGGCTTTTTCCAGTTAGGTTATTATGGGCTTTGTGAAATTTGCGGAAAAAAAAAAAAAACAATAAACCGAGAAATTTTAGAACCGATTGTAGTAACGCAAACCAATAATTCAATTCGGTCTAATTTCGGTTACAATTCTTCCAAACCGAAATCAGAATCAATTTCATATTATTATTTTCGTCACAGTCTTCTTCGGTTCGGTTTAAAACCATGGTTTGGAAGAAATGGTTGTTTCTAGAGGATGAAAAGCTCATGATGAACCGTTTCCTCAACACTCAACAGCATCCATATCAAGCTTAAGAACCAACGGGCCAACATTTGCCACAAATATCTCCAATGACAACTAAATTGGAGTTTATAAGTGAAACAAAGACACAGTGAAAAGTGGTGCAAGAAAGGTTCTTCATTATTACGCCTTGTGGTCTTTAGCCAATTCATCCACATCGAGTTCTACCGCCAGGATTGGTGAATCCTCTTCCATGGCAAATTCACTGATAAGAGCAACAATTCCAGGATTTGTTTTCCTCAAGTCAAAACAAGAATATAAGGAAGATAAAGCTGATATGGGACGATAAACTGTTCTCTTACCTGTTGCTTACTGGACCATGATCCACGGCTGTCCTCAGACAATATATAGCTCTTCCCACTATGTCCGCCATTGAAATCGGACCAAATGTTCGACTATCATATGCTTCCTATCAATACATACCAAAGTATACAGAGATTTAGTTTCTCTTATGTAATGCGGTATTACATGGTTTAAGTTGCGAGTGGGATTTTGCAATTGTATAATGTAAGGGAGTAAGTAAGTGATGTACCTTAGATTTCATCTCTTGGTTCTCAGCTACGACCCAGCACTGATCCTTTTCGAGAACAAAAGGCTCATCTTTCTCATCACTTGATACCATTTCAGATCCCTCTACAGCTGCTAATCTTCTGACTATATACTTCTTTTTTTCATTCGGGTCCTTGAAGACAACAGCATCCCCAACGAAAATGTACCTAGATAACAAAGCAAGAAAACTAGATGAGAATCACTAATAATACATACACTTAACCTAGAAAAGGCTGCGAGCTAAAGGGATTCCACTGATTATTGTATAATTTACAATTTCAATGAGCTCATCGGAGTTGAATATAGTTGTCTGTGCCAATCAACTAATGGAGATTAAAGTACAGCTCCTACGCAAGAAAGGCAACATAAATAATCCAATGTTTATGACTTAAGATTAACGTGATCCCATATCGCCATCAAATAACTAGCAATGCAACTACAGAGCCACATTTCATGAAACACCAAGTGGAACTAAAAAGACAAACCCTTAATGGCAAGTAACATACCTTGTATCAACAACTGGCAGCTTACGGACAAGTAGCGTGTTTTCATTTGTTCCCATAGTTGGGGCCATCTCTTGCCCCTTATCCGAGTGTAAGTATGTTATCCTTCCATAGAATAGATTCTTCATGACTATACCAAGGAGTTCCCGGTCACTGAGCTTCTCTCTAGTATGTTTCTGACAAATAGAGTAACTCAAGCAAGGTAAGTATAACAGATTCTATAAAATATTATTAAAAAAAAAAAAACAGATTCTACATGCCAGTTTTAAACAACTCAATGAGCTGAAAAAAATGGATTCAGAAAAGAAACAACAAGGACCAGAACAATCATGACGGCTTTATTTGGGTCATTGGATTTAATCATATAATCTGAAAGAAAGATCTTGAAATCATATTCACAAGTGAAACTATATGATACAAGTACTATCACAAATTCAACAGCTACCGATTTGCATATATGAGCTTGTATTAAAATAAATAAATTCAAGAACCACAAGCTATTGAAGATCTTGTTTTTAAAATCAAATTGTGCTTTTTTAGTATAAGAGGTAGCTACAATCACCAACTAAAAAACATACAAATTTTGATTATCCAAATGCATAGCTCGAGAGAAGCAAAATGTCTTGAAAAATGGCGCTTTATTGGGGAAAATAAGAAACCCTAGACCATACCTAGAGCCAATTATATAAATTACAAAGAGAGAAATCAGAAAGGTAAATTTCCAAAAATCCCAGTAAGCCTAAAGCAAGGAACTGAAAGCTTAACACAAATTGAGTCACAGTGTGAGAGAGAGAGCATTGTGAGAACCTTGAGGCTGAGAGTGAGAGAGTACTCGAGCTTGTGAGCCATGTATCGGACATAATTCGTGATGGATGCCATCGTTGAGTGCTAGCGACTTTTAATCGGAAGGGACCTCTTCGCCGCGTCGGTTTTCTAAGCCTCGTCGCCGCCGTTGTCGAACTGGTGGTGTTTTATGGGTTCGTCGGTCATAAAAATCTCGTGATTTTCAAAAATTGCCAAAAAAGGTTTGATGTTTAGGAAATATTGAAATTAGCCTCGGAACTATTCTTCAGTTTTTGAATTTTAACCCTGAATCAAACAATTGTCACTTAAACCCCTACCAGGAAGCTTCTGACCAAAACATCTAGTTAGGCTTTGTCAATATGCCACGTGTTCAACAGTCTTTCTAACTCCCTCTCTGCTCAACATTTCCTTGGGACACATTTGCAGATTGAAGCTATTAGATAATCAAAGACAAATACCAAACACAACAACAAATTTTCCAGAAGATTTGAATCCGATCATCTCTAAGAAACTTCATCTCAGGTTCTCTCCTCTCTTCGTTTTCTAGTGTCAAACTCAAGGATCAATACATTTGAATTGATAGATCCAATTTATTGTAATTTTTTCTTCCCTGATCTCTATTCGTTAGATTTTGGTTGATTGATCTCGATTCGGAGTTTACGATTGTGTACTTTTTATTATTATAGAACGATGGTGACTCGAAACTGAATCGGAAATCAAATTAGGGTTTCTTTTAGGGCTTTGTTAAATTAGACTAATTTTGGGCTAGTTTTACAGAGAATATGGACAAATTGAAGATAGCGGAATGGGGGGAGAAGCTGAAGACTGGTGGAGCTCAGATGAGCAGAATGGTGAGTGAGAAAGTGAAAGATATGCTTCAAGCTCCGACCTTGGAATCGAAAATGGTGGATGAAGCTACTTTAGAGACGTTAGAGGAGCCTAATTGGGGAATGAACATGAGGATATGTGCTCAGATTAACAACGATGAGTTTAACGGCACTGAGATTGTTAGAGCCATTAAGAGGAAGATCTCAGGTAAGAGCCCTGTGAGCCAGAGGCTGAGCCTTGAGCTTTTGGAGGCTTGTGCTATGAACTGCGAGAAGGTATTCTCTGAAGTTGCTTCTGAAAAAGTTCTTGATGAGATGGTTTGGTTGATCAAGAACGGAGAAGCTGATAACGAGAACAGAAAGCGAGCTTTTCAGCTTATTAGAGCTTGGGGACAATCCCAGGATCTTACTTATCTTCCTGTTTTCCACCAGACTTATATGGTAAATCTCTCTGGATCTCATTTGCTTTATTATGCAAAGACGTTTTCTTGTTAATTTGTGTCATTCTCTGTTTTTCTTATTCCTGGTTGTTTGTTTCTGATTTCTCCTAGGGCTTGGAAGGCGAAAACGGATTACATGCTCGAGGTGAAGAGAATTCAATGCCGGGACAAAGTTCTCTTGAGTCTCTTCTGCAACGGCCTGTTCCAGTGCCTCCACCTGGTAGCTATCCGGTTCCTAATCAAGAACAGGCTCGTGGGGACGATGATGGTCTTGACTATAACTTTGGAAACTTATCTATAAAGGATAAGAAAGAACAGATTGAGATTACCCGGAACAGCCTCGAATTGCTCGCTAGCATGTTGAATACTGAAGGGAAGCCGAATCACACAGAGGTAATCTCTGCGTTTTTTTCCCCATCTAAACATATTCTTTGTATTGAGTATCTCCTCCTGATTTACATTATCATTTCCTTGGATATATATGCTTAAAGTGAAATTGACAGGATAAAAATAAGTAATGGGTTTTTATATATGTTTCGGTAACAGGACGATCTCACGGTAAGCCTGATGGAGAAATGCAAGCAATCACAGCCGTTGATTCAAATGATTATAGAGAGCACAACAGACGACGAGGGAGTTCTGTTTGAGGCTCTGCATCTGAATGATGAGCTCCAACGTGTTCTATCTAGTTACAAGAAGCCTGATGAAACCGAGAAGAAAGCCTCCATTGTTGAACAAGAATCATCAGGAAGCAAAGAGGCTGGTCCGAAACCAACAGAAGAAGAAGAAGAACAACCTGTAAAGAAAACGGGTGATGATGATGACACAAAACATTCAGAAGCATCAGGATCCTCCAACAAAACCGTCAAAGAAGATAAGCTGGCCGTGAAAATAGAACTCGGGCTTTCTAGTGATGAAGATGAAAAATAAGCAGTCTGTGTTTGTCTTCTTCCGACATGGATATCAGAATGTTGGGAAGATTTGTTCTTGATGGTTTACTTTTAGATAATAACAATGTACTTCCACTATAAGTGTGGAACCTTTTTAGATTCGTTTCTTGCTGTGTTTTAAAGTGTTTTTTTTTTTTTTTTTTTTAGACATTTTTAAACCGTAGGTGAATGTTTGGACTTAGCCTATTACTTATGTGTTGTGAGGTTAGTATCTTCATTAATGTTAAGAGTCTCAGATTAACTCGCTCGGAATGATAAAATGAAGTCTAACATTTATGTGTTTAGTCTTCCAAATTCAAATAATAAACCGAGTCTTGGACGATGCTTCACAGTGATCTTTCAAAAGTTTACTCTTATCACCAACTAGGTAAGCCAAATAACTGAATAAGGTCTTGTACCAATTGTAGAGTATATGATACTTGCCTACACTCGGGTAAAGACTGTCTCATGTAATCATCTTGTTATGCTAGTTTCTTCTTTAATTGTAGCTTCTCCAATCTAAAATGAACTCCTAAGAGTGATAAGACTAATTTTGCTTCATCCATGATCTAATCCTAAACATCTTTAAAACTGTTTAACAATGGTTCCTTTTGTCGGTGATAATACCCAAACCATGTTACCAAAAATTAAATCTTTGATTTGTTGCTTCTTCAAGATCTTAATATATATTTATATATTTTGATACAATCAACATATCATCCACTAATATAAAAAATTATATGTATGAACTTTTACTGAATTTTCTCCACTAAACGTAGTGATCAAATATATTTTGTCATAAATTTGATCCATTGCATTGGAAATTGACCATTTTATTTAAAAACTAGAATTTTTAATCTGGTTTTAATTAAAAGTTTCTTTATTAAAGATAATTTGGGAATATCACATTTATAGTGACACTCAGATCACAAAATGGCATGCCTGATTCGTTTTCTCCATTTAGTGGCAAATTAGCCTCGGATTCGATACATTTAGGTTTTTTAGTCGGTGTCAAGTATTTTTAATTTTTATATATATATACTTGATACTCGCGTCGTCTGCGATAAAAAGAGTATTTCCTATCAAAAACCTAAATCTAAAACTTTCGTTCCCAAAACAGTCTCGGAAAGACTCGAAACCCAGTGGCGAGTGGCGAGTGGCGACACACCCTATCGCCGAACCAACCCTCATTTTCCTCTAGCTTGCGCTCCGCCTCTCGCTCTCTCGACCTACCGGTTCGTCTTCTCACTCCTTAACTTTTTTCAGCTGGTTGATTCTATCCTAGGGTTTTACTCTATTCCAACTTAGCATAAACTTCTGCTCGATTGTCGCCTAGGGTTTTGCTCGAGTCTATATTATCTTAAGTTTCTGGTTGATTTTAGCTTTTCCTGTTGCTTCGGTATAAACTACGCAATAACTCTTTCATCTAATGTTGTTGTAGCATTAGGGGAGACTACTCGCCAATGGGTTAACTGAAGTATTTGATATGTAAATAACCCACATACATAGATCTAGTTTATCTCTATCTAAAGCTTGATTTTGTGGTAATGCTCTCTCATCTGACTTTCTGATTTTAAAATTTCTGTTATTGTTCTCTGCACCACGAAATTCTGATTGAGCATGGGGTTCTATTTGACAGGTTTACATAAAGATGGAGGAAAGCTTATATGATGAGTTTGGTAACTATATTGGACCTGAGATTGAGTCTGACAGAGACAGTGATGATGAAATAGAAGATGAAAATCTCCAAGATAAGCAACTTGAAGAAAATGGATCGGATGGCGAACATGGTCCTGGGGGTTCCAATGGCTGGATTACCACTATCAATGATGTTGAGATGGAGAACCAAATTGTTCTTCCTGAGGATAAGAAGTACTACCCTACTGCTGAGGAGGTTTATGGTGAGGGTGTTGAGACCTTGGTTATGGATGAAGATGAGCAGCCTCTTGAGCAACCCATTATCAAACCTGTTAGAGATATTAGATTTGAGGTGGGGGTCAAGGATCAATCAACCTATGTGTCAACACAGTTTCTTATCGGCCTCATGTCTAATCCCGCGCTTGTGAGGAATGTTGCTCTCGTGGGGCATCTACAGCACGGCAAAACTGTCTTCATGGATATGTTGGTAGAGCAGACGCATCATATGTCTACTTTTAATACTAAAAACGAGAAGCATATGAAATATACAGACACAAGAGTCGATGAGCAGGAGAGAAATATATCAATCAAGGCGGTTCCAATGTCTCTTGTCCTTGAGGACAGTAGATCCAAATCATACCTGTGCAATATCATGGATACCCCTGGACACGTCAATTTCTCTGACGAAATGACTGCTTCTTTAAGACTTGCTGATGGTGCTGTTCTGATTGTTGATGCTGCTGAAGGTGTGATGGTAAGTCTTTACTCTCTCTCTTTGGGTCTGTATTTTTATTTTTTGAAGTTTACTATTTGTACTAACGCTAATACTCTTTTTCAGGTAAACACAGAGAGAGCTATACGGCATGCAATCCAGGACCGTCTCCCTATTGTTGTTGTCATCAATAAGGTACATCATGCTTCAATGTAGAACTTAAGAGATACTGTGTGAAATTTTATATTTCCATACGTTTACTTGACCTTTGGTTTTTGTCAAATTTGTTTTCCCCAACAGGTTGACAGGCTCATAACTGAGCTCAAACTACCTCCAAGGGATGCTTACTACAAGCTGAGGCATACAATTGAAGTCATTAACAACCACATATCTGCTGCTTCAACAACTGCTGGAAACTTACCTCTTATAGACCCTGCAGCTGGAAATGTATGTTTCGCCAGTGGCACAGCCGGATGGTCGTTCACATTGCAATCTTTTTCTAAAATGTATGCCAAGCTTCATGGGGTGGCCATGGACGTGGATAAGTTTGCATCTCGACTTTGGGGAGATGTTTATTATCACCCTGATACTAGGGTATTCAAGAGAAGTCCTCCTGTAGGT